CATTTATTAACTTGTAGGAGCTGTTTATTGAGCCATAAACTCTACTAATGGGAATATTATCTCTGAATTATATACTTCCTACACTGTTTGGTTTAGTTATACTGGCATAGTTAGTTTATCACCATTACCAGCATAATCCTCTAATGGGAATTTAATTGCTAATTGTTTGTTTATACTGTGAATAAATTAAGAGTAATAATGTACAATATGTTGCACATATCCCTACACTTCCCTCCCTATGTATACAGTATAATAATAGAAAAAGTACTAAATTCAAAGTGATTCTATGCAGCAGTACATCTTATTTATTTATTTATTTATTTATTTTTGATATTTGTATTCCGCCCTCAAGGGCAAGGTCATTTGCCATGCCATAGGTAAAAACATATAAAACATAGTAAAAAATCCAACACTAAAACCACAGTACTCAATCCATTACTAATATCCTAAATCCAAGATGGTAACACCGCAGTTCCAGATGGTCCTCCCATAGTATACGTTTCCAATGGCAACGGCTTGTCAGATATTCAGTCGTTTCCATGTTCTTCCTCGGGCCTCGTCAATGCATCCTTTAAGATACCTTGATGGTGGTGGTATAATGGGGCGGCGGCTCCTACTCAAAGGCCTGGTGGAAGAGCTCCATCTTACAGGCCCTGCGGAATTGCTCAAGGTCCCGCAGGGCCCGGATCTCCCCCGGGAGCTCGTTCCACAGGTAGGAGCCGCCACCGAAAAAGCCCTGGCCCTGGTCACAGCTAGTTTCACATCCTTGGGACCAGTGTTCCCTCTAAGCTGAGTTAGTGTGAGCTAGCTCACAGTCTTTTAGCCTCTGGCTCACACATTTTTGTCTCTGCTCAGGAAGGACGGCTCCAGAGCAAACTAATTTATGCAGTAGCCAAATCACCTGCTCACAACTTTAATGCCAGGAGCTCACAAAGTAGAATTTTTGCTCACAAGACTCCATAGCTTAGAGGGAACATTGCTTGGGACCCAGGATGACCAACAAATTTTGGGTCCCCGACCGTAGTGCTCTTGGGGGAACATGTAGGGGAACATCTTCATAAAAGTCAGTCATGCTGAGCACATGTGCTCCAGGGGACTGAATTGTTCCTCATCACCATGTTCCCTAATCAAGAGGAGCCCTGTTCAGAAGTTACTTTGGATGCATGTATAATCTGTGTACACTTGATTTTTAATACATGCATTGAGTAATTTTCATGTTGCATTCAATGCATGTACAGGTGAATAAATGATAGGAACTCCACATATGTCCAGGTCCTGGTGCCTCATTTCAACTACAAAATGTACGCATGTTGGCTCTTTCTTATAAACCAATATATGCACTTACATGCAAGATGTACATGCGTTCAGTGTATCATGTGCACATGGCTACAGAAGGCAATGAAACCAGCGTTAATTGGAGCAAACTAGGATTTTTGTGATCATCTGCAAACATAATCCTATTTCACAAACAAACCATATTTAAAACAAATATGGTTTCATATTATGCCTGAACTGCAGAATTGCATACAAGAGATTTTATTATTATCTTTTTTTAAAAAAAGCATCCTCTGTAATCGTATAATGTAGTAGAGGTAGGGTTGCCAGCTCTGAGTTGGAAAGTACCTGGAGATTTTGGGGTGGAACCTGAAGAGGGCAGGGGAGGGATCTCAGCAGGGTATAATGCCATAAAGTTCACACACACCCCAAGCAGCCATGTTCTCCAGGGGAACAAATCTTGATAATCTAGAGAGCAATTGTAATAGTGGGAGATCTCCAGGTTCCACCTGGAGATTGGCAGCCCTAAGTGCAGGAGTCCTGGCACCAACCAAGTGTTTTTAGAAAGTGGGTGGAGCCACATTGAGCTCATGCAAAGTAGAGCTTCTAATTAGCCACAAGAGATCTGATTGGTACTGCAGATTAAGACAATTTCATTTTAGTGGCAACTGCCACCATAGGGTTACTAGGTCTTACCTTGCTGCTGGCAGAAGGATCTTCGCTGCTCTTTGGAAGCTTCTGCCACACTTGCAAAGTGTGTGTGGTGTGATGATGTCACCCAGAAATGACATCATCATGCCGCCACACAGCGACGCTCTAGGTTTGGGGCAAAACTCTATGGTTTTGAGCCCAAATTTTCCATACAGCTTTGCTCAAAACCTAGAGTGTCTCCACGTGTTGTCAGCAGCATGATGACATCACTTCCAGATGACATCATCATGCCATATTTGGTGGCATTTGCAGTCAGGGTTCCCCCCACCGGCCACCTGGCCGGTGCCTGGGAGGAGCCAGTAAAAGCAGGGAAACCTGCACCTGGACCAGGGAGCTGGCAACCCTATGCCACCACAGTGCTGGGTTTATTCTCTCTCTCCCCTCTTTCCTAGTGTCTTTTTAAAATCACCACTCCTTTCCCCTGCACTTGGGCTTTCTCTATGTATGGGGTTCTGCATCTACCACCCCATGTCAGATTTCCAAAGGTGCCCACAGGCTCAAAGAAAGTAGGAGACTCCAGTATAGTGGTTACAGTGTTAGACTTAAGATTAAAAAACCTGAGTTTGAATCCTGAAGCCCCATAACACTCTCTAAGGGTGACCTTTAGGGCCAGTCAACCACTATTTGCCTAATCTACCCTGTAAAGGAACTGGCTAGCAAGTCTTCCCTGTTCCTTCAGATTGGTTCCCAGGAGGTCAGAAAATCGCACAGCCATACCAAGTCTTTGCTTGGTGATAACATGTTTCCGTCATTCTGCAGGCCTGCCAAAAATGAACTGGATAAAAGCTGTTGCCATCAACAACTCTGAGAGGTATCTCCAGCAAAACAAAATTGTACATCTAGCATTCAGTACCTGTGTGACAGACTGCGCTTTTGAAGAGGCTTAGAAGTGCTGTTACCAACAACTAAAGGACTATGAAGGGCTAATTCTTCACAGAGCTAGAGAGCTTCAAGTGGCTGGCTGCTCTAAGCAATATGATTGGTTAGCATCAGCTGAGCAGAAAAAGTCTTGAAAGAGCTGGATGTTGAGGAGATTGAGTCAGATTCCTGCGTAAACTGAGAAGAGATGTATACTGAGACCATCTGTGAATAGCCCTGACAGAAAAAGGGTTTAGTGGTGACAGAGTCAGATTTCTACCTTGACTGAACGCAGTCTGACTTCAGCATTAGCTGAGAACAGTTTGAACACACACAGAGAACTGAGGGAGAGTTTGGCAAGGAAGTTTTAGTAGTAGAGAAGACTTCCATTCAGGCCAAAGGGAAGGGAATAGATCTTCTAGAGAAAAGAAGATTCCCTACCCTGTCAAACAGGGAGAGTTATCGCTGAGGAATACAGAGATCCCTGGTCTGGTGTGATTAGAAACTGCCTGTAGAGAAGTCAGTGAACAACTCAAGAAGAGTACTGGTGTTCCACGAGAAGGGCTTTGGGTATTGGGAAGAGGTACCAGCCATCTGGGCACCAAAAGTCTCAGTGATTACTCAAATACTGTACTAGAGTATTTGGGAAAACACTGGAACAAAAGCCTCTCAATATAAAGATCTATGTAACTGTGAATGAATTAAGAACCTCTCGCTAGCCTGTTATATGTCAAAAGTCTATGCTCAGTAATTTCAACCCCTAATTTCACCTGACTTTCCCCCTTAATAGTGCTCATTGCATCCTTCTCAGTGATGTTTTTCAGTTGACTCTGATATGGGTTCTTCCATTAGAATTAGGTAACTAATCTGGAGACTGTCTATTATCGTTGACTAACACAGGCTCTTTTACAACTGCTTCAGTGGTTATTATTGCTTGCCAGAAAACCACACAGTTTTCAAAGCCTTCTGCACCAACGTTTACATGTATGGAAGATGAACTATGGCTAATCAGTAATTTTGTAATCAATCAAAGTTCCAGGGCTGCAAAAGATCCTGTACCTCTAAGAGTTAGATAAAATTCTGCTTTCTGCGGAGCATACTTTTTTCAGCAAGAGCGGCAGTGAAGAAAGAAGTGATACCCAATCTCTTTTCCCTTCCTTTTCAACATAAGAAGGAGAGATTGGATTTATACCCCACGCTTCACTACCCGAAGGAGTCTCAGAGTGGCTTACAATCCCCTTTCCCTCCCCACAACAGACACCCTGTGAGGTAGGTGGGGCTGAGAGAGCTCTCCCAAGAACTGTCCTTGAAAGAACAGCTCTGAAAGAACTTATGACTGACTCAAGGTCACACCAGCAGCTGCATGTGGAGGAGTGGGGAATCAAACCTGGTTCTCCCAGATTAGATTCCACACTCCTAACCACTACACCAAACTGGCTCTGTTTGAAAACAGAGGCTAGATGGCCATCTGACAGCAATGCTGATTCTGTGAACTTAGGCAGATCATGAGAGGGAGGGAAGGAAGGGTTGCATAAGTGCTTAGTTCTCATGGCCCTTTCTTACACACCCAGGGAAATGCTGATGGCCACTTTGGGGTCAGGAAGCAATTTTCTCCTGGCCAATTTGGCCAGGAGTCCTGGAGGGTTTTTTCCCCCTCCCTCTTCTGGACATAGAGCAAGGATCACTGAGGGTGTGGGGAGGGGAGGTATTTGTGAATTTCCTGCATTATGCCGGAGGTTGGACTAGATGACCCCGGAGGTACCTTCCAAGTCTAAGATTCTATGATTCTACCTGACAATTCCACTACCAACAAGAAACTATTAGGAAACAGCAAAACAGCAGAACCTGATTCAGGAGCAGAGGCTGGAGAATATATACCTGTTGGGGGGCAGTCCTGGGCTAAAACAATTCCTGACTTAACAAGTAACCACATCATGTATAATAAACAAGAATAAGGGTGCACTGAAATTATTTTTATTGTGATATTGCATGCACATTATAGTCCATTAGAGTATGCAACAGTTACAAAAGTATATGAATTATATTTCTACAATACATTTTTAAAAACCCTTAAATTCACCCAAAATCTATAACTGTGATTCTTTTATTTTTTTTTAAGTAATAATTTACAGAAACTCTCCGGAGAAGTTTGGTGAAGTTGCAACATTGCTTCACAGGAGATGTCTTGTGTGGACTAGTACTATTCTTCAATCCCAAAGGCATCCTGTATTAGTGGTAAATATTTGATTTTTTTCACTGGAAGGGTTGGTGGCTGCCCACTCCATTCATCTTCATACTGAGAACAGTGAAGAAGAAAAAACACAAGCTTAGAGCTACATATAATGCAATGGAAAGTAACCAGACATCACACCCAACACTATGAAGCAGTAATTACTTTTATCAATAAGTCACTTGCAAATGGATCGACAATGTTACATAACATTTACAATAAAAATGTAATGAAAATCTTTACTAAAAAATAAAAGCACTCCTTGAAAGAGAGGTGGAAGCAAAGATAACAATATGAAATACACTGGGGAATTTAGAAGAAATTTTTACAATTACTTATAATTTGATGCCTTGAGTAGTAGATGTCAAAAGTCCCTATCCAAACCCAGACGAAGAACTTTTGTTAAGGGGAGCTGCTGAAAAACAAAGTTACAAAAATACCAGAGAGAGACTAATCTCACCCTAGTCTTGGTAGGTGCCACCAGTCCTTTCCAGACTATCCCAACAGCTCAGGAGTGAAAGGACAAATCTCCCAGCCTTTCAGGGAATTAACAAGAAAAGTCAGCCCTGCAGGGTAGGGCTGCAGACTGAGTTTCCAAACAAAATCAATTACCACGTAGGTGGTCAAAGACCAAGGCTTCTGGAAGAAGGCTTTGAGATCAATGAAGGCAGAAATCCACAGCAAGGTAAAAATATAATTATTTTATTTAAGGTGCAAAAAATAGATAAAAATAGACAAGACTGAGAAGGACATTAAACAATAAATTCTAGGCTTATTGAGCTTAGCTAATACATTAAAGCAAGTTTCCAAGTTACCCGTGTTGGTTCATCTCAGGCAGGTAGTTTCAGCAATCCAAAGTGGCTCTCTCTTGCAGAGATACCAAGGGCCATAGTCCACACGAGCAAGTAATTCAAGATGGATGCCATGAGCACAAGCTGAACTGAGTAACCACTGACATACTTCGTGCCAAGTAGTTACTAATCCCCCGAATGGCAAATGCTAACTTTATGGAGAGGGTCTCTTATTGACCCCAGGCCTATTTGGCCAATCAGAAACCTGAGAGGTGATGTAACTCTCTCTGTGTTGCTAGCCATGTGACGTATAGGGTGAATAACCAGGGGAGAAGAAACAAAACTGTACTGCAGCTAAGCCTTGCCTCTTTCCCACAGGACTCAGTTGCTTGGAAGAGAGATGCAAGTGGAGGCCTAGTAGGGGGCAGAGAAGGGGGTGGGGCACCTGAGCACATCTGCACAGGGCCCTCCAAAACCTGTAACCAGCCTTGGTTAGGATAAACCCTTGGCATGCTGCCTCCATATGTGGGCCTTGTGCAACTGTCTCTTTTTTTCTGCCTCTTGATCTGTCTGTATTCAGAGAGGGCCAACAAAATGATTTTGTCTGTGAGGGTTGTGAGGGTTTGGACTGCTCAGGGAATAAGTTGTTGCAGGATGAAAAATTGTGCTGGCTAGTCTCTGGAAAACGTTTGTGAGTACATCAGCAACAGCGGGAGAAGTCTCTATAAGCCTTTCCATTTGGCGAGAATGAAGCCTGATTTAGGTATCCTTTAAAATAAACTGTAAGGAAGCTGACAAATATTAAAGGCTACTCTGAAGCTCTGGAGAAAGTTACTGGGTTTTTTCTAGCGTCTGCCCCCCCTCCCCAATTTTGTGCACTTTCACCAAAACCTGCTTTCCACTCCCTCTGGTGCCAGGAAAGGGGCAGAGAAGCCGAATCTTTCCCCTCTCGTCCTTTGCACATGTTTTTTTTTGCCAAGCTGCCACTGCGCAAGAGCAATGTGTATAAACCTTCAAGTGCTTGGTTGTATACAGGGGTCATTTAGCAGAAAAAGAGGTGCAGGAGCTCATTAGCATATCTTATTAGCATAACTTATTTGCATATGCTACACCCCCTGACATCACTGGAAGTGTGTCAGAAGGCAACACCTACCACTCAGGCTCCACTGGACTGTTTTGGATTGCTAGCTATTGGGGGGGGGGAACATGCAGATTTGTCCTCACAGAGGAGGGAGAGCTTGTACCTGAATAAAACTTGGTCTTAAAGGTGCCACTGGACTGTTTTGGATTGCTAGTTATGGGGGGGGGGACGCACAGATATGCCCTCACAGAAGAGGGAGAGCTTGTACCTGAAGGCAGGCCGGTGGGTGCTCTGCAACTTACCTGGCTGCTTCTTGCTCCTTATGGCCCAAATAAGGGCTGCTGGGAGCAGGGAGCAGGGCTTGTTGCATGTGCCTGCCTCCTGGGCTCCTTACTGCCGGAGCTCCGCTTCTGTGCGCTCCAGCAGGAAATGACCCCTGGTTGTATGTGGCCGGGTAGTTTTGTTTGCTGTTCGGGGGGGGGGAACCTCCTGCTGCCCCTTTAAAGGGGGCGGGGCGTGGGGAGGAGAGTCCCTCTCCCACTGTCTCTGGGACTGGTGATTAAGCTGCCGCTGGCTGGGCTGCACAGGACCACGTGTAATACCAGCAGCCCAAGTTCGTCCACTGGACCCAGGCAAGGGAAGGAGGGCAGCTTGGGAAGGGATGTGTCATCCCAGTAGCCAGGGAGACGAGAAACCACGCCAGAGGACTTAGCAGCAGGGAGAGAAGCCTTGCCTGGAGGTCCCGATCTCCCCCCCTCCTCAAAGGCGCCACGTGGCTACTGGTTGCCCCGAGACTCCACGCACTTCCCCAGACCCAGCCAGGATCACAGCATCAGAAGCAGCCGGGGGGGGGGAGCAGAGGTGGGGGGGAAGGTCCCTTGAGGCTTGCTTTCAGCTGCAAGCCTAGGGTGAGAGTTTGCCTGCACAGAGCACCCTGCTCTCCACCACCACCGCTTGGGCAGCGCAGCTATCTGGACGGTGCCCGGAACATCATTGCGCAATGCAAGCGGTTGGGGGAGGGATGTGTGAACATCCCAATGCAAAAAAAATTTTTTCCCGATCAAATCTATTGCGGGAATAAATCGGGATAAGCTTGCCGTGTGACCACAGCCTAAGTCAGTTCAGAGAATGGAGATAGGCACTACTGACCTGCTGGAGTGGCAGGGCTATCCAAACTGGAAGGAAAGCCTCACTGTGTCCCAGGAGAGCCACACAAAATTTGCATAGCCCTGCTTGGAGCAAGAGGAAGCATGACCTAACCCGTTTGGATGACTTCCCCAACTAAAGGAGAAAGCTCGGTAAAGCCAAGGCTGGGGAATTTGTCCATTCTTCATTCCCCCATTCTAAAAACTTACCCTGGCAGAGGCATAGAGGGCTCATGCACGTTTCAGTAGTAGAAAATACAAAAACTGAGGGTCACAGCGTCAGAAAGATATGCAAAAGCCAGGTTTGTATCGTCTGTTGCTGCTGGGGAGCCTGGGAAATGGAGTTTTAATGACTCCCAAACCCAACCTTTAAAAAGGGGTGGCTTTGGCTCATTGTTTTCCAGCTGGGAAAGTTATAGTTCAAATGCAAAGCAGAGTTCTTATCCATGCAATTCTACTGGGTTTATGAGAGTGCATATCCTAATCAGGATTACTCTTCTAAATCCAATAGGATTGCATTGTCAGTTTATGAATACACACACAACATTCTAAATTTTGGCACTATTGCTGCTATCAGTCCCTAACCTAAAACTTCTAAAAACTACTTTGTGAATCATGTGCTGCATCCCCTTAACTGTGGCCTGGGAACACAACAACAGGACTCTTGTGATCTGACAGGTACGTCCCCATACTCCCACTGGGAGATCAAGATCATAAAATGAAGACAGAATGAACTTCTAAAACTTTACTTCATTGACAATGACTGCACTTTTTTACAATCTAGTTGGTATTAGCAGGGGTTGGGTGGACGGAAGAAGGGCAGGTTTAAGATTTGGGGACACTTTGCTTTGTTCAGGTTTCCTTGTGTGTTTTTTTTTTGGCTTGAGATGAATCCAGCTAAGGAAAAGTGAACTTGAACAGTGCATACTTAGAGAAGCTTTTGGGACAATCTGCATGTACCAAACCATCAGGGCCAATGATGAGAATATTTATTTTCTTGGACTTGTTAATTTAGAAAGGGGCAGATGGACTGAAAACACTGTAGATTCAGCCAAATGAATGAGAATCAGACTGTAGTTTCTGTATGTCAAATATAATCATCAAACACTCCAGAAATACTCCATGTTAAATCACCACTGGGATAAACATATCAATGATATTGTTCAGAGATTCAACTGGGGAATCAGATTCCATTTTCGCTTTAGTTAGATTCAATTTCTTCTTTCCTCATCCTTTAATTTCCCCTCCCCAGTACCTCTTTTCATTAAAATGTACTAACTGAGATTATCTCATGTAATTAGAAACAATTAAAGTCAGTGCAATTCTTTCAGGTAAACTGAATATATGTTGCTACTTTTAATCCAGATGTAATGTAGCAGTAAGTATATCAGGAACTTCTTAGTCTAATTTGGAACCATATCTCCCTTTATATTTAGTATTGAGATACCGAAGTACTAAAATCATGTGGTTTGTGAGTGATGCATCTACATCGTGAATAATACATATACATTTAAAGCACCTCTTTTCTGAACAAAACACATGGAAGCAGAAGACTTATCTTTTCCCAACTGTCAAGTAAGAACTAGTTCTGAGTATACTTATGTAAGTACAGCAGAGTTTTAAAATTCAGAAACTGGATTCCTTGTTCTCAGCCATTACTATGTGAAACCTTATGCTTTGACAGCAACAAAAATTGTAGGTTAGTAAATACTGTATCAGTAGATAGTATGTCCTCACTAAGAGGCATGTACAGAGAAATGTCCGTCTGAAAATGTCCCCTGCCCACATGTGCCTTACAAGGAAAAAGACAGGTTGCTTACCTGTAACTGGTGATCTTCGAGTGGTCATCTGTGCATTCACACCCTTGGGATACTCTGCGCCTGCGCTGACCTTCTCGGTACCGATAGCTAGCAAAAGGGATTTTCGCGCCTCTCCCAGGTCACGCGCCGGCTCCACTGCGCATGACCAATGAGGGGCACGCAGATCCCGCCAGTTCCTTCTGACCGCTGCCCAACAGCCTTCAAAGAAACAAGATGAAGGGCCGAGAGC